TTTGCCATTCCCCTGGAAACTCCTGTCTCCCCGCTTTCCCTACCAAGTTATGTGAGCTTCCTGTTTTAACTATTTAGCGAGCTAGCTACTGTCCTCAGCTCCCTCGTGCACTCCTTTGGTCTCCTGGTAATCTGTTTGCTATCTGGCAGGCCCAGTGACCTAGATGAAAGAGGAATTTTTTTCCTGTTCCACAGCAGCAAGATTAAAATACTTCAGAGATAGAAGATGTGGCCTGTAGACACATGGAATGTGACTCAGCGATCAAAAAAGATAAACTCCTGCCCTTTGCAGCAACATGGATGGAGCTGGCAGGGATTGTGCTGAGTGAAGTAAATCAGAAGGAGAAAAAAAATATGGGATGATTTCACTTATAGGTGGAACAAAGGGAAAAGACAACTTGCAGTCTGACCGCAGATCGGAGGCGTACAGCAGGGGTGGAGAAGGGTCAGAACAGGGGAGGGAAGACACTAGGGACTGTGGTGAAGGTTCACGGGTGCTGTAGTGGTGGGAGAATTACCGGAACTACCCCTGAAGGGAGGAATCAAATATTGTATAAAAATGAACAAAGATGTAAGAAAATAAAAAATTTTTAGCTTACATTAAATTTAAAAAATTCTTCAGAGATGAATGCCTCTACTAATAAAATATCAGGCCAAATCAAAGAAGCAGAGTGGCAAGTTCATCCCTTTAACTTTCCAAATGACCATCATAAGTGGGGCACTAAAATAGGCATCCTGGGTTTGGTTTTAAAGACATCCTCAAATAAATAAAATAAAATAAAAAATAAAGCACTTGCAAACATACACTAAATAAATAAATAAATAAATAAATAAATAAATAAAGTCATCCTTAACAGCAGCAGCACAACTGGAAACGACATATATGGAAATCTTACTGAAATATCAAGGAAGAAGGATCAGGGCCTCCCTGGTGGCTCAGGGGGTTAAGCACAGCACTGTGAAGGCATCTGCAGCCTCTGTCTGCAGCACGAGTTAGATCCCGGGCCAGGGAGCCGACCCATATGGTGCAGCAGACCTCTCCTGTCTCCCCGCTGCTCCCCTCAGCAGTGTATTTCCGTAGATCTGCCTGTTCTGCTCCCCACTCTGTCTCTGGTGAATCCTCTCACCCCCGCATCGCTGGCCTTTACCCCATCTCTTGTGTGCATAAATAAATAAATCTTTAAAAAAAAAAAAAAAAGGAACAAAGGGTGATAGAACTAGTGATGGTACTTTACTGCAAGAGAATTCAAGGATATCTAGCAATTTAGCAAATTTCAATTTTAATACTCCTGACTGTTCTTTCCACCATTCCACAAAATTCGGAGTAAGAAATTCATTGTCAGAGAGCATCCTTACATGTTTATTAGTAAATTAACGATCCAAGTAAAATGTGTTCCTCTATCACAGCATGAATAAGTCAGGATAGGCAGCAAACAAAATCTACTTTTTAGCCATTGTGAATGTTAACTTTTCTACAGAGAAATGCTTCACCCCATGCAGAAAAGAAATGTATTATTACTAGCTCATATTCACAATCCAGGGAGAGTCAAGTGCGTAAAATCTACTTGAAGATGCCCAAAGGAGCTTTGTGAAATGGCTCCATGCCATGTTCCATCTATTCCACTTTGCAGGGCTGTGTTAGATAAGGCAGAAAATGGCTACAGCTTCCGATATTCTAGAAAAAATTTCACACCATTGTTTTTATAATATTGTAGTAAGTTTGTCCTAACTGTGACAGGTCATCTCGTGGGGGGGGGGTGGGAAGCGTCCATTTGAAATGATGTGTTGTGCCAAGCATCTTTTTTTTTTTTTATGCATAGAACTGGGGTGTAGGCCAGAGGTGTGGGGGGTGAGGGGATTCACCAGAGACAGAGTAGGGAGCAGAACAGGGGAGCAGCCGGGAGATAGGAGAGGTCTGCTGCACCACGTGGGTCAGCTGCCTGGTGGGAGATTGAACTCATGCTGCAGTGGCTGGCAATAGCTTGATACGCTGAGACTTAAGGAGGCCCTGTGCCAAAGATCTTATCCTCATGCATCTTCCGGCTTGATTGTTTCAATTGTTTATACTCAAAATTCCATTGAGAATTATTTATGATGGAATTCTTGAATGTCTCCATGGATCGATCTCTTTGTTCTCAAATCTTCATATGATGGCTTTAGACAAAGCAGCTTGCTTAGCTTAATACTCTGCTAAAGCATCTTCCTCTAGTTTCTGTAATATCTCTTTTACAATGGTCCTCTATCTTTACATCAGCTATTTCTCTAATAGTATCAGGCATCAAATATTTTACACAATGATTGTCTATTATTATTACAGAGAAGGTTCAGAAACCTCCTTGTTTAGCCAAAACATGTTGGCCATCAGTAAATATATTTATCATTTTATCTTTAACAACTTGCCCTACCCTGTCAACGACCAGAAGTTCACCATCATGGTAACTCATTAATAAGCGATACTGAGTCAAGATTTGGTATGGACAGTATTTTTAAAAAATCTGATCTGGATTGGAATAGTTCTCAAACAACAAAAACATAATCACGAGATTCCCATTCATTGGATGAGGAAAATAAAGTCCCTGGGTTGAGAGTCATGACAACGTAATGTGGGAAGGAGGAGGAAAATCAAGATTTCTTAATGATGAGTCACTTAGGAGGAAAGTGTTGGTGTTTTCAGCCAGCAAAAGGAACTTTCCTGCATATGGTATCATCAGGTACAAAGGTTATTCTAGTACAGTTACATACAACTTAGTGACACAAAATTCCATACCTTTGATCTCGGTTATTGGAGAATTATTATTTTCCTTTTGTGATGTCATGTTTCCTTGATTTTTCGTGTTCTTATAATTTTGCATTGGTGCTTTCATATTCGAAGGACACTTTTTAAATATTTACTGATCACCTTCAGGAGGGGTCTCCTGGTATTTCCCTCTGTCTTTGTATTAGGATACCTGTTCCATTCTTCTGGTTCCCTTGTGGCAGGATTCTCAAGGTTTCCTGTCTAGTTCTCACAGCTCACCAGGTTGGCTGGCAACGTTGGGAACCTCTGATTTGTTTTCCAGAAGGTGGTGCTATTGGTCAAATTTGTGGTTCCTGCCTTGCCCACAGATAGGGCGTTTTGAGCATACCCTCCCCCACTCTCCAACCAGAGTTCTCTCTACAATGCAGACTAGAGGCGCACACAGGCGCCTACAGCTGAGTTGGGGGACGTGTGGGTTTTGCACTCAGCAGCTGCCCTCACAGGAAGATTCCAGGTGTGTATTCCCAGAGGCTCCTGGGTAGCCTCCCTGCTGAGAACAATCCCGTGGACCCCACAATCCAGACCACACGCAGAATCCCCTAACTTTGGTGCTGCCAGACCACACCACAGAGTAACCTCATTGAACAATACCTAAGCGCTGGGCTGCGAAACTGCCGCAGCCTCTGCAGCACCGGTTTGATCCCTGGCCACAGGCGAGGGTCCCACATGGTGCGCAGACCTCTCCTGCTGCCCGCTGCTCCCCTCAGCAGTGTATTTCGTCAGTCTGCCTGCTCTGCTCCCCGCTCTGGCTCTGGTGAATTCTCTCACCCTCCCGCGCTTCTGACTATACCCAGTGCTTGTATGTATTAATTAATTAATTAATTAATTAATAAAGACAGGTGGGGAGAATGGTTTACAGGTAGACAGGAGTGGGGGAAAGGTTTACAGGTAAAGACAGGATGGGGAGGGAATGGTTTACAGCTAGATAGGTGAGAGATTAATTCAGATTATAAAATTTTGAAAGTTCTGATAAGATTACAGTAACTCTGGCACTCATAAAATTAATACCACTGATTGAGGTATTAGCATGGAGTCTCCTTTCCTGGAATTAGTCTTCCTGATGGGCAGTGAGTGATAGCTGGGGGGTGATGCTCTTGGGAGCTATCCCTAATGCACACTTTCTCCAGACTCCAAGGCGAACTCCTGGGGACACCAGCTTATTCCTTCTGAAGGTGGACAACGAGCTAGCAGTTTCCAATCCTATCTGGGCACTGAAATCCCCTGAGGAGTATCTATAAATCCTTATATTTAGGTCCTGCCCACAGAGATTTTAATTGATTGACTCTGGAGTGGAGCCCCAGGCATGTTTTAAAACTCCCCTAAGGGTGATAACATACAGCCTTGGTTGAAAACCACCACAGAGACTCAAAAACTCAATCACATCTTCTTTTCCATAAACGACAGACGTATCCTTCAGGTGTGCTTTTTCTAAGGTAGACAGGCATTTCTGAGTCTATTTATTTTTTTAAAGATTTTATTATTTATTTTGTGTAGAAGAGCTGGGGTGTAGGCCTTAGGTGCGGGGGCCGGGTGAGAGGATTCACCAGAGACAGAGTGGGGAGCAGTACAGGTGGATCTACTGAAATACACTGCTGAGGGGGAGCAGTGGGGAGACAGGAGAGGTCTGCTGCACCATATGGGTCAACTCCCTGGCCAGGGACTGAACTCAGGCCATCGTGGTGGTAGTGCTGAGACTCAACCCGTAGGCCACCAGGGAGGCCCTCTGAACCCATTTAATAAGAAACGTTGAGGTCTGGGCCTCCCCGGTGGCGCAGAGGTTGAGCGCTGGGTTACGAAGCTTCCTGCAACCTCTGCAGCCCTGGTTCGATTCCCGGATGCTCCCCGGGCACCGGAGGAGGGTCCCACATGGTGCGCAGACCTCTCCTGCCGCCCGTTGCTCCCCTCAGCAGTGTACTTCGGTCCTTCTGCCTGCTCTGCTCCCCGCTCTGGCTCTGGTGAATTCTCACCCTCCCGTGCTTCTGACTATACCCAGTGCTTGTATAAATAAATAAACAAACAAACAAATAAATAAATCATAAAAAAAAAAAAAGTTGAGGTCTTCTTCTATTCAACAGGGAATCAATTCTTGCATCAGCCACATCCCTGAGATAAATGCTGAAGATCAGAGGAAACAGATTTGGCCCTATTGGGCAGCTAGTCACCAGGACTATTTCTAACATTGTGCCCTTACTGACCATGACCACATGGTCTACTTGTTCCAGTACAATTCCGTCCAGGGCAACGTCAATGGCTGGTCCTCCACGGAAAACTCATCTCCATCTTCCAGCACTGAGATCTCACCAAGATCAAATGGGGTGAGCCTGAGTGGAGTATGCTGTGAGTCCATCTGCAACCTACTGCTTGGGGAAGGCTGACTTGAAAGGTGGAGCCACTGGGGTCATCATATCTGCCCCATCTTTGATGGCCCCGTGTTTGTGATGTGTATGAACCATGAGAATTACGATGATGTAACACAAATTGTTGCTTGGAGGGCCCAAACACCTCTACGGAACTATTCTTTTGCCTCTTAGATCCATTATTGTTATGCAGGTCACTGGGAGATGATGCCGATTATCTGATGATGATGATGATGATCATGCAATTATTCTCATTGTGTGATTATCATATAATATTGTGCAAATTTAGGATACACAATGTGTTGATCAAAAAATTATTATTTTAAAGATTTATTTATTTATGCACACAAGAACTGGGGTACAAGCTGGAGGTACAGGGTGGGGGGTGAGAGGATTCACTAGAGACAGAGTGGGGAACGGAACAGGCAGGCTGACTGAAATACACTGCCATATGGAGCTACCAGTCAGTCTGCCTGTTCTGCTCCCCACTCTGTCTCTGGTGAATCCCCAGCTCTTGTATGCATAAGTAAATAAAATAAATCTGTAAAAAAAAAAAAATAAGTGTGTGGATTTGCTACATCTCTCCATTACAATGTGTTTGCCACCACCGCTAACACCTCCATCCCATCAGTGACATCTTTTGGTGTGGGGAGAACACTGAACATCCCCTCTCAGCACTTTCACATCCGTAATACAGTCTCCGTGATGCGCGCTGTGACTCTTCTGACCAATGTCTGTGTTTTTTGGCCAATATGTGCCAATTCAGTCAGTTTGTGGGCTCTGCTTCCAATGGTCAAGTATGTTGATCATCAATATCGGATTGATCAGGGAACGGGAATGATCCAGGGGCTGGGGAGGAACTAGGGTTCCCATTGGTGGAGCGGGACCTGGGTGTGGTTGTTGCGGCTGCATTTAAATCCTGATGCACTTTTTTTCCACTTCCTGTTACAGCAACTAAGCATGGAGACACAGGATGTCACAGGATGTCACAGGATGTCAGACCCAGGGGACCTTCCCAGAGGTAAGCAGGAGGAATGTTGTCCGAGGGTAACTCCAATCCTTGGTAAGTCCAGTTCTCCCCCTTGTCTTTTTCATCTCTTCCCACCTCCCCCAGAGCTCCCTGGGGCTTGGGGTGTCCTCTATGGGGCACTGATTATTTTCTTTCTTGGAGATGCTTAAATAACTTCTGCCTTCCCTTTCGGTGGGGGTCTCTTTGGCAAATTATCTGGAAGTAGATCTGAGCCTGGACCTGGGGCAGCTAATCTGGGCCCCCGCCACCACCAGAGCTGTCTTGGGTTACCATGGGCCATGAGGTCTCCCACCCTGTTGCTACAGCAATGCATGTGTCCATAGCACATTCAGCACCAGCATCCCCCCATATAATGTTGACGGGATCTCTCTCCCAGGAGATGGGACGTACTTTCCATTGATGTCAAGCTTCCCGTTCTCAGCCATTGGCCTTGCCCTGGGTGGACTCATACGGGTGCACTTAAAGCATGGAGTTGAGGTAGAGAAGGGGCCACTGGGCCTCCCCTGGTGGCTCAGCAGTTGAGCGCTGGGCTGCAAAGCTGCCCGCAGCCTCTGCAGTGCCGGTTTGATCCCCGTCCGCCGGTGAGGGTCCCACATGGTGCGACAGACCTCTCCTGCCACCCGCTGCTCCCTTCAGCAGTGTATTTCATCAGTCTGCCTGTTCTGTTCCCCGCTCTGGCTCTGGTGAGTTCTCTCACCCTCCAGCACTTCTGACTGTACCCAGTGCTTGTAAATAATAAAATAAATAAATAAATAAATAAATAAATAAATAAATAAAAAAGAAGGGGCCACTGATGGCGACAATGTCCACTTTGCCAGAGTGAAAAGCAGCCCGAGACCAGGTACCCTGGCCAGACACCTCCATTCACTTGATCGTCACGTGGCGTCTCAGGGACAGGCTGGCTGTCAAATCAAAGGATCAGACAGCCCAGGTCACCTTGATGTTGTCCACAATGTGGGTTTGGGACAGCAAAGCTGGCTGTCTTCCTAAAGAACACCTGCACTTAGTTCACGTGGAATGATGATGAGGATAATCTCACGGCCAGCTCACGTGGAGCGGAGCTGCCTATCTTCCACACAAGGAAAATAGCCACAAGGGAGTCCAATGTAAACACCCATTTCCTGCAGAGCCCAATAGTGGGGCAGAATTGGGCTTAGGAAGATGAGTAGCAAAGTCCCCCCGATGGAGCACCAGTATCTGGGGTCCTCGGTCACTTGGCCTCAAGTGGGAGGGGATGGTGTTGTCTCAGCACCTCAGCTGTGCCCTTCTCCCTTCTCTCCTTCCCAGGAAAGCACCTGAAGTGTTCACAACGGAAGCGAACTGTGTTCACCGAGAAACAACTGGCAGATTTGAAGATCCTGTTCAAGAAGAACCCATACCCCAGCCTTAGCGTCCAGAGAGAAATGGCCTCCAAAATGGAGATACACCCTACGGTACTGCAGGTCAGCAACACCCCCCCACACCAAGCCACCTTCCTGGGGTCCGAAAGTCAGACACCCTCTAGAGGGATTCCTAAAGCTGGATGCTGCTCCAGTCCCCAAGACTCCAAACACCCAGAACCTCATCTAGACCCTTAAAGCCCACCCCAGAAGCCCTCGGGCAAGGGCCGGCAAACCTTTTCTGCCCTGGACCAGACAGACAGTCAATATTTTAGGCCCCATGGGCCATGCTGTCTCAGGAGAGGTAGCGTGAAGCAGAGGATGCATAATGCAGTGGGAGTGTCTGTGTCCCCATGAAGCTTGACCTTCACATTGGAAGGTCAGATAATTATCATGTGCACAAATACTATTCTCGGTGTTTTTCATTAAACCTCTCGTATCACTTTTGCCCAGGGGATTACATTTTAGGCTATGCGATGATTTTAAGTAAATCAGATTGGAAGATTAAAAAAATAATTCCTTTTTTCTTCTTTTATCCCCCACCACAGTCCTTTATACACTTTTCTCCCTTTCCCTCCCCCACTCCACCCTCTTAACTTCAGATTAATGATTAATTAATTGATTAATTAATTCACCATATTGATTAATGTCCACTAATTTTTGTGGGTTGTTTTTTTTGTGTGTGTGTGTAGTAGAACTGGGGTCTAGGCTAGAGGTACAGGGGGTGAGAGGACTCACCGGAGACAGAGTGGGGAGCAGAACAGGTTGAGCCACTGAAATCCAGTGCTGAGGGAAGCAGCAGGGAGACAGGAGAGGTCTGCTGTGCCATGTGGGTCAGCTCCCTGGCCGGGGATCGAACTCAGGGTGTGGTGGTGATAGCGCTGAGACTCAACACTAGGCTACCAGGGAGGCCCCACTAATTTTTGTAAGTGTTTTACTTTATCACATGGTCTGCTATGTCCACATCATCTGTATATGCTGGGAAAGAGGGGACACAAACAGCATGTAAGTGGCAGAGGAGCAGGACCCTTTACCCAGAAGCACCCATGTTCCTGGGTCAAGTGAAGACTGCGGGGATCTCACTGTCAACCCCCATGTTCCTCTCTCTTCCCTTCTCAGGTGTGGTTCAAGAACTACAGAGCCAGGGTGAAGAAAGCCAGAGGCGAGCATTTTCAGCAAACACAGCCAGAAGCAGCTCACACACAGCAATTAGCCAAGGGGATGACCCCTTCTCCTGGGAAAAATATGCAAACACCCCCCAGGTTCTCCCAGGATGCGGGGCCCATGTCCTTAGTCTATACACATCTCCCAGGCCCTTCATTCCAGCTCCACATATGCCCCACTCAGAACGGCCACACGGGCCATGCCAGCGGCCACAGAGTGGTCCACTTTGGCTGCTGTCAGGACCCCAACATTTACTGCCTTTCTCCCATTTTGGATTCCCAAGAGCTCTCCAGCTGCTATTCTCATTCTCCGGGCACTTCATCGCCACCCTAAATGTGGGGCTGAGGGGGGCTGCATCAGACCCGGCCAGGGCAGGTTGTGAAGGGGACAGTTTTCACAGTGGAACAAACCACGTCCACGGATGGCGTGCTCACCGGTGGGGCGGCGACACCAGGCACGGGAAGCTAATCTGGCAAATCAACACTGTGCAATACAGAGTTTTAAAAACAACATATGTCCACTTCAAGGAACATTATGCTGAGTCAAAGGAAAACGACCCAAAGGCCACATACCACATCATTGAATTTTCACGAAACCGTTCAGCCGGGAAAAGTCATTCATCTATTGTTGGCAAAAGCAGATTAATGTCCGCCCACGTGGAAGGAAGGACTTTTCACCAGGGGAAAGAAGGGCAAACAGGACGAAAAGAGCAATATTAAAGTACAAATGAGGATGAACACTGCCATGTCCTAAGTATTGTAACACTGCAATAAACACTGTCAAAGACTTTCCCAGTTGATGGTTTCATGTTCTTTGGGTAGATACTCAAGAGGGAGATTGCTTGGGGGGCCTCCCTGGAGGCACAAGGGGTTAAGTCAGCACTGTGAAGCTATCCACAGCCATGAGTTTGATCCCCGGCCAGGGAGCTGACGCACATGGTGCAGCAGACCTCTCCTATCTTACCTGCTGCTCCCCTCTGCAGTGGATTTCAGTAGAGCCGCCTTTCTGCTCCCCAATGTCCTTGGTGAATCCTCTCACCCCTACCCCTCTGGCCTACACCCCAGCTTTTGTATGCAAAAATAAAATAAATCTTAAAAAAGAAAAAAAAGTGTCTGTTGCCCATATGCCAGGTAAAGTGGAATCCTATACGTCTCCCTCCCCGCCTGTAATTCTTCTGTATAAATCCATCAACAGGCTCAGAGAACTTTAAAACCACTGGCCTCTTGAGTCAGTTTTTCCAGCTCTTGGGGGCCTCGTGAGAAAGACATGCCAGCCCGTATGGATGAACAGGAGTGTGGGGTCTCGGCCGTGGTTGGGGTGCCAGCCACAATCTGGGAGAGTGATTTGCAGTTCAGGTTCCTTCCCCTGTGTGCAGGAAGCCCCCACCTCCCTCACAGAATGCTGCAACAGATTTTTTTTTTTAACGTTGATTTTGCAGCCTGCCCTTTTGCTAGATTCATTAATTGTTTTAACGGCTTTTTGGTTGAACCTTTAGAATTTTCCATACTTAGTTATCATATCACCTACAAATAATGTTCCTTTCACCCCTTCTTTTCCAGCCTGGGTAGAACCTGTGCATTTTTATAGGCTTTTTGAGTGCAGTTTCCACTACTAGCCTGGAACTTCCCTGCAGAGTATAAGCTCATCCAAGCAGGGACTTCAAGCATCCCCACCTGACCCAGGGCTCAGAACTCTGCCAGTAGCAAAACAGGTTTTTGAAAGAAAAAGAAGATGATTGGCTGTTCGATGCAGACTTCCTTAGATAAGAGTGGTACTTAAGTCAGCTCTGACTCCTCCCCTCTCACCGACTAGCCCAGTATTGCTCCAGCCTGCTGAGGAGATAAGAAATGCCTGGCAGGCTTCGAAAACCCAGGTTTCAGCAGTGGAGGGAGGGCATGGGACCCAGAGGTGAGTTTGATTTTACCCACAGTGTCAAAACTCAAGAAACACAACCAAAGTCTAATCATCCAGAGATCAACATTGCTGGGAGGAGGTGAAAAGGAGAAATTCCCGGAAGATGATTCCAGGGTGGGCAGGGAGGGGTGGGACAAGGAGGGGACAAGGAGGAAGCTGAGGACTGAGGCCCACCAGGATGGGGGTTCGGTGCCTGTTACCATTTTGGAGACCCCAAAGCTGTGCTTGCATCCTGCTTCCTTCCCAAGCAAGCTGTGGCCCTAAGTCACTGGCCTTGACTGGCCTGATCAAAATGAGCCCCTAAGAAAGGATAAATGGGCCAGGGAATAGCTCTCGAGATGTAAATTCTCTGCCTCAGTGTCCTATTTTGAAACTGGGGAGAGTTTGTCCAGGGCTGAGTGAGAGTGTGTGTGATGCGCCCTGCAGTGGACTGAAGGCTGGTACAGGGAGGGCTCCCAGCCCAGCTCTTGTATGCATAAGAAAATAAAATAAATCTTTAACTTAATCCAGCAGTGACTCTGAACTAGAGGTCTGAAAAAGAAAGAAGTGATTGTTTAGTATCAAAAGTGTTTGAGTCTGTTCTTGAGAAGCTGGGTGTTGTTTCTGTTACCAGAAATAGGCTGTAGGATTTAACTCTTGTTTATATCCCTTAGTCTCTCTGGCCAAATAGGTTTGATTATATGTCACTTCACTTAAAGTCAGGTTTTTTTTTAAAGATTTATTTATTCATGCATACAAGAACTGAGGTACAGGCCAGAGGTACGGGGTGGTGAGAGGATTCACCAGAGACAGGGTGGGGAACAGAACAGGTGGATCTACTGAAATACACTGCTGAGGGGAGCACCAGGGAGACAGGAGAGGTCTGCTGTGCCATGTGGGTCAGCTCCCTGGCCAGGGATCAAATTCCAGCTGCGGTGGCTGTGGAAAGCTTCACAGTGCTGAGACTTAACCCCTTGCGCCACCAGGGAGGCCCTAATGTCAGTTTCTAAGAACCTATTGACTGGGCCTCCCCGGTGGCGCAGCGGTTGAGCGCTGGGTTGCGAAACTGCCCGCGGCCTCTGCGGCGCCGGTTCGATCCCCGGCTGCTCCCCGGCCATCCGGAGGAGGGTCCCACATGGTGCGCAGACCTCTCCTGCCGCCCGCTGCTCCCCTCAGCAGTGTACTTCGGTCCTTCTGCCTGCTCTGCTCCCCGCTCTGGCTCTGGTGAATTCTCTCACCCTCCCGCGCTTCTGACTGTACCCAGTGCATGTACAAATAAATAAATAAAAATACATGCCTCTTTAAAAAAAAAAAAAAAAAAAAAACCTATTGACTATGCTTAAGTGAAGACTTCCTGGATTCTTATCCATTGCAATTGTGGGCCAACTGAGGCTGGATAATTGGGAGAGGGTATGCTTATTCGAGGGTCCAGAAAAAGATTAGAGATGGGCCTCCCTGGTGGCGCAAGGGGTTAAAACGCCATCTGTGAAGCTATCCTTAGTGACTGCAACACAAGTTTGATCCCTGGCCAGGGAGCTACCCACAGGGTGCAGCAGACCTCTCCTGTCTCGCCTACCTCTCCCCTCAGCAGTGTTTTTCAGTCAATCTGCCTGTTCTGTTCCCCACTCTGTCTCTGGTGAATCCGCTCACCACCCCCCCACACCTCTGGCCTGTACCCCAGTTCTTGTACGTATAAATAAACCTTTAAAAAAAAATAAAAAGAATAGTGATGGAGATGCATAAAATCCAACTGTTCAGGAACTCCCCAGTGGCGCAGCGGGTTGAGCGCAGCGCTGTAAAGCTGTCCACAGCCTCTGCAGCCTGGGTTTGATTCCCAGCCGGCCAGGCAGATACCCACATGGTACGGCAGACCTCTCCTGTCTTGCCTGCTGCTCCCCTCAGCAGTGCTTTCGGTCCATCTGCCTGTTCTGCTCCCCGCTCTCTCTGGTGAATCCTCTCACCCTCCTGTGCCTCTGGCCTGTACCCCAACTCTTATATAAATAAATAAATCTTTGAAAAAAAAATCTAACTGTTCAGTGCACTTTGTTACTGTCTGGCCTAGGTCTGAGTCTCAGGCCCCAGTCTGAGACTGGGGGATAAAACAGGAAGATGGATAATGAATTTAGCTCCCTGAGTCATCACCTGCCTCCCCCCCCCCCCGCCCCTAGGACAGCCACAGTGCCAGGCAAGAACCACTGTTTTATCCAAGACCAACTAAGGAAGTTACTGTTCCTTCAGTAAGACTCAATACCTAATAAATTCCCAGCTTAAGGAATGTCTCTAATTTTTCCTGGCTTTATAGAGGCCTAATAGATTTATGTATGCAATGAAATTAACACACCCATCAATGCCCACAGTTGCCTTTTTGTGTGTGTTTTGTGTGAAGAGCACTTAAATCTACTCTCTCTGCTAATTGCAACTCTACAATACAGCATTATTAACTATAATCGCCGTGTTGTACAAGAGATCCCCAGAACTTGCTCATAAACTGGAAGTGTACATCCTGTGACCCACAACTCTCCATCCCCCACCCTCAGCTCAAGGGAAAAGCCATTCTAGTCTCTGCTTCTGAAAGATTGAGACAATTCCACATATAAACCAGATCCTGCAGTATTTGTCCCTCTGTGTCTGGCTTATAAGTGGTTTATAGCCACTTAGCATAATTCCCTCAGGTTCACCCACCTTGTTGCAAAAGACAGGATTTCCTGCTTTTTCAAGGCTGGACAGAATTTAAAAAAACATCTTAAAACTCATCCTGGGCCCTTCTGGTGGCACAAGGGGTAAAGCACAGTACTGCGAAGCTGTCTGCACCACAAGTTCGATCCCCGGGCAGCCAGGGAGCGGCCCACATGGCACAGCAGACCTCTCCTGTTTTGCCCACTGCTCCCCTCAGCAGTGTATTTCAGTCACTCTGCCTGTTCTGTTCCCCACTGTCTCTGGTGAGTCCTCTCACCCCCACACCTCTGGCCTACACCCCAGTTCTTGAATGCAGAAATAAATAAATCTTTAAAAACAAACAAACAAACAAAAACTCATCCTGCATTCCTTGGCCAGCCAGGGAGCAACCCACTTGACACAGAAGACCTCTCCTACCTCGCCCGCTATTCCCCTCAGCAATGTATTTCAGTAGATCTGCCTGTTCTGCTCCCCACTCTCTCTGGTGAATCCACTCACCGCCCCCTGCACCTCTGGCCTACACCAGAGCATAAGTAAATAAATCTTTAAAAAAAAAAAAAAAAAACTCATCCTGCATGATCATGTAGTTAGGGGCTGGGGAGGCAGTTTCACCCAGCTCAGATTTTTATTCTTATTCATATTCCCAGCATCACAACCTAAAGGGTTTCTAGGGTAGCCACCTCCCACTAATGTCTGCCAGAAGCTTTCTGGCCCAGACCCAAGCAACTTCCCTAACCAGAGAGCTGAGAGTTGGCATTCTGGAC